TACAAATTTGTAAATTGACTTTATTTTGTAGACAATTTAAATTTATTTTATTTTTTATCTTAGTAAACTTGAACTAGTAAGAAAAATAATAATGACTGAAGTTATTATTTGTTTTTATTTTATATTTCTATATTATATTTTTATTTTATGACTAAGAAAAATAATGATGGCGAAAGTTTTTATTTATTTTTATTTCATCTTTTGAAATACAAGAATCAAGATTAATAAAATTTTGTTAAAATGTGGGTCCTTTATCTTTGGAGCAAAATATGTTTACGAAATAAATAGTTTAGTCATAGCACCTTTTTTTAAATTGAAAAAAAAAGTATTTGCTTCCATCAAATGCATCACTCAAATGTTTTTATTTATTTATGATTTATAAATAAATAATGTTGCTCTATTCATAAATATATTTGCTTATATAAGTATCTTATGTAAAGCTAAAGCTAAATTACATTATTTTAACAAATATTCAAAGTTTTATTTTAAATAGTTTATTAAGGTTTTTAATTTTACTGCTACACAAATATCTATTTTTCCTATCTGTTAGAAGCATGCATTGCAAAACTTTATAAAATAATGAAAGTATGGCATTTATGAATCATTGCTCTTTAATCGCAATATAACTATCTCTCTATAACAATTAAAAAGAAAATGATGTTTTTTTAAGTAAAAACAAATTAAATAAAAAATTAATAGTTGGTAGAAAAGAGTTTTCAAATTTTTTTTTAATAAATCTGATTTTAACAAAAACTTTCTTTCTTTTGAAAGATGATTACCATATATAAGCAATCACAATTTTAATATAAGTATGGAAGCATTGTTTTTTATACAGGGTTCCCACCAGTTCTGGAAAGTCATTAAATTAGAAAGTAGCTTTAAAAAATTCTGCTCCATAGTTACTCTAAAAAATCCTTTCAAAAAAATCATATTTTAGTTTTTTTTGTTTTTCGTTTTTAATTTTTTTCTAATTGATATTCTAAAACTGGCTCGCAAAAGTTTATAAATCAAACTTTATTTAAGTTTTTAACACATCTTTTCACAAAAATTTGTTAAATAAACTAAAGTTTTGATAAAATGTCCTTTTATAATATTTTCATTAAGAAAAAACGTTTTTATAAAAAGGCTCCCTAGCCAAAGTTTAAAAATAGCATCATTCCCCACAATTATAACAAATTTTTGAAAGTTAAAGCTCAAATTTTTGTTAAATTTAAAAAATCACTTTCTTTGAAAATTGAAAAGTAGTGAAGTAAATAATAGTTAAAAAATTTGTAAACTTTAAATTTCAATTACTTAAAGATATTTTAAAAGCGTGGGAAAGGTTAAGGAAGTTTTTAATAAAATGAAAAATGAAAAATTAATTATAAAATAATTATAATTAAAATGAAATTAATTATAAAAGCTGTGGAAATAAAAGACTTTCGTTACTTTGGAAGTCCTAAAGTTACAACTGATATGGTTGGTAAATTATTAGTAATGTTTTCAAATAATTCTTGACTGCTGTCAAACGTAGTTAATGAATTATAATAGCCAAAATGATTAATAAAAATGATAGTTAACTTATTATATTACACAGCTAGTTGTCTATTTAAGATTCTTTTTATTAAATTTTCAATAAACTTATTTTTTGTCAATAAAAAAAAAAATTATTTTATTTCTTTTGATTATAATACTTTCATTAGTGTTTCTTGAAGTTTCCCAAATATCATTCTACTAAGTATTGTATTAAGTATCAACAGATTTTATATGATGCTTATTCATATTTTTAGGTAATTTTTTTTCATTAACATAAAAAGCTTACATGTATTTGTTTAAAATAAGGTGCTTAAAGTTGACTAAGTAAGGAAACTGATAAACTATGTTTTTTTTTATATTTTTCTTAAATATTTAAGATTCTTTGCAATCAATTACACAGGTCAACATTAGACATAAAACTGGATAAACACATTTAACCACATTTATGCCTAATCTCTATCATTTTTCTTAATAAAAGGTTATGTTTTTAAAAGTGTGTACACGTAGACTGACTTAAAATGTAGAACAGGCATGAAGTGTACATACATCAACTGACTAATTAGGTAGAACATGCGGGAAATGTATATACAATGACTGAATTAAATAGATAAAATATGCAGTAAGTGTACATACATATACTGACTAAAAAGGTAAAACATTCACGGATTGTTCCAACATCAACTGACTAAACAGGTAGAACGAGCAGGGTGTGTACATACACACCCTGCATTATTATTATCTGCATTATTTAAGTAGACAATAATTTAAAAAAATAGCTTTTGTTAAAAATTGTTTAAAAAAAAATGCAAACACTTATTTTATTATATTCCGGTCATCAATTTACACAAAACTTTAAATCTAAAAAATAATCAAGACTACTGTCAAACGTAGTTAATACGTTAATAGTAACTTTTACAAATAATTCTTGTAAGACTACTGTCAAACGTAGTTTTAACATATTGACGTTTGATGTTATTTTAGGCTGCCCTTAAAAAATAAAGTTCTGGAAAGTTGTGGAATTTTTTATTTCTGTTAAGTCCTTATTAGTCATGGAAATAATGAATAAATTGAAATATTGCCGAGAAAGTTACTAAAACTATCCTGGCAAACTTATTTTAATTTTTTTTTTTTAATCTGGATAAAATTTATATTAATTTAAATACTTTTTCTTTCAAACAATTAACTTAATTACCACTTTAATAGTAGTTTCTTTTGCTGCAATGGAACATTTATATTTATCGGTAATATTATTTTGATTCGTATACTATCTCTTTGACCTAAATATTCATGCAGTTTAAACTTTTCTATTCTCGTTTTAATAATTTTTTTCAAGTTTTATTTTGTGAAATACTTTTAACTAAATTATTATTTTAATAACTAATTATTTATCATTTATTTTATTAAATAACTATTTATCATGTTCTTATTATTTTATTTTAACAACTTTCTTATTTTTATTTATGAAAAGCTAATTGTCTTCTACAATTAAACTATTTATTAGTTTAACTATTTATTAGTTTATGTTTTAACTTTGTTATCTCTGCATTACTAAATATTAACTTTGTTACCTCGGTTTTGGTATAAATTAACTTTTTATCTCTGTATTTCTAACACTTATCTTGTTACTTCTGGGTATAAGTATGCATTAACTTTATCTAAACAAAGATAATATTGGTAACATTTAGAAATGAATCACTAAATATTATAAATATTATCTTTGTTACCTCTGTATTAGTATGTTTCATTACGTCTGTTTTTTATGTCTGTTTTTATTCTATATGTATAACTAAATATCAACTTAATACCTCTGTATTAGTATGAGTTAACGTTGCTACTTCTTTGTCATTAAATAATAACTTTGCTACATTTGCATTGGAGTGATTTATATTCAAAAAGGTTTTGGACTTTACTAGTCACTGTAACAAGTTTGTGTTAAACAGATTTTCTGTATCCTTCTACTTAAAAATATTTTTTTAACCAATTAAATTGAATGTACATTATTAACTAAGTTTTGTGACTGTAGGTTCTTTGTTACAATGGAGCAACTGGTCAAGCTGCAATACATCAAATGGTTATGGATTTACTAACAGAACAAGATACTTGGGTGGTGAATGCTATACAGAACAAAAACAATGTTACGTATATAAAGGTATAAAAATGAATAAAAATGAATAAAAATAAAATAACAAGAAAATAAGTACAGAAACATAAAACTTAAAAGCTAAATTATAGGCGAAAATTATAGTTATATTCTGCATAACTTAGTTATGTCTTAAGGCTCAGATTTTTTATGTACATTCTTTTTTCATGAGCACACTAATGTTGTTTTTGGGCCATTTTACTTTATACTGCAACTCATATTTATTGTATTACACAACTATCTGTATAATTGTTATATTACACAGCTATCTGTCTATTTATTATATTACACTGCTATCTGTCTATTTATTATATTACACAGGTATCTCTCTATTTATTATATTTCACAAATATCTGTCTATTTATTATATTACACAGCTTTTTGTCTATTTATTATATAACACAGCTATCTGTCTATTTTTTATATTACTCAGCTATCTGCCTATTTATTATATTACACAGCTATCTGTCTATATATTATACTAGCCAGGTATCTGTCTACTCATTATATGACACAGCTATCTGTCTATTTATTATATTACACAGCTAGCTGTCTATTTAAGATTCTTTTTATTAAATTTTCAATAAACTTATTTTTTGTCAATAAAAAAAAAACTTATTATTAGTGTTTCTTGAAGTTTCTAAAATACTTTTATTTGTGTTTTATAAAGTTTCTAAAATATCATTCTACTAATTATTGTATTAACTATCAACAGATTTGATTTGATGCTTATTTATATTTATTGGTAACTTTTTTTCATTAACATAAAAATGTCATACGTATTTGTTTAAAATAAGTGTGATTGAAGTTGACTAAGTACGTAAACTGATTGATGATATTTGTTTTTTATTCTTCTTTAATTAATTAATAATTTCAATTAATAAAAAAGATTCTTTGCAATCAATTACACAGGTCAACATTAGACATAAAACTGGTTAATCACATTTAATAAATATATTGTTTTTAAAAGTGTGTACACGTAGACTGACATAAAAAGTAGAACAGGCATGAAATGTACATACATCAACTGACTAATTAGGTAGAACATGCGGGAAATGTACATACAATGACTGAATTAAATAGATAAAACATGAAGGGAGTGTACATACATATACTGACTAAAAAAGTAGAACATTCACAGATTGTTCCAACATCGACTGTCAAAACAGGTAGAACAAGCAGGGTGTGTACATAAACACCCTGCATGTACACACCCTGCGTTATTATTATCTGTATTATTTGGGCAGACAATATTTAAAAAAAAAAGCTTTTGTTAAAAATTGTTTAAAAAAAAAATTCCAACACTTATTTTATTATATTCCGGTCATCAATTTACACAAAACTTCAAATTTCAAAATAGGTTTTTGATTCTATCACCTACCTATATATATATACAAATCCAAAACCCTCAGTCAAAGTTGCAGCAGAGTTGCAACTTTGACTGAGTTGTTTTTTAACACAAACAGTAAATTTAGATGTCAAACTATAAGAATATCAACACTCAGAATTAGGAAAAATGAGGTCAGCAATAATTTGCCGACCTCAATAATTTTTAGGTCGGCATCAATTTTTGCCAACCTCAAACACCTTCCGATCAGAAGATAGGTCAGCATTGCCGAATGCCGACCCTAATTAAGAGGGTTGAGAATATATATATATATATATATATATATATATATATATATATATATATATATATATATATATATATATATATATATATATATATATATATATGTTTTTATAGATATATATATTTATATATATATATATATATATATATATATATATATATATATATATATATATATATATTTATATTTGTATATTTATATTGTTTATATATATATTTATATATGTTGTATATTTATATATATATATATATATATATAAATATATATATATATATTTATATATATATATATATATATATATATATATTTATATATATTTATATATATATATATATTATATATTTATATATTTATATTATTTATATATATATATTTATATATATATAAATATATATATATATATATATATATATATATATATATATATATATATATATATATATAAATATAAATATAAATATATATAAATATAAATATGAATATATATAAATATAAACATATATATATTTATTTATATATATATATTTATATATTTATATTATTTATATATATATATGTTTATATATATATAAGTATATATATATATATATATATATATATATATATATATATATATATATATATATATATATATATATATATATATATATATATATATATAAATATAAATATATATATATATAAATATATACATATATATATTTATATATATATATATTTATATTTATATATTTATATTATATATATATATATATATTTATGTATTTATATATATATATGTATATTTATATATATATATATATATATATATATATATATATATATATATATATATATATATATATATATATATATATATATATATATATATATATATATATATATATATATATATATATATATATATATATATATATATATAAGTATATATATGTATATATATATATAAATATATATATACTTTAAAATATATATATATATATATATATATATATATATATATATATATATATATATATATATATATATATATATATATATATATATATATATATATATATATATATATATATATATATATATATATATATATATATTTATAATTATATATTTAAAAAATTGATAACATGACGATGTCTGTTTATGTCAAAAGATGGTATTATTTATATTTAAACACATTTAACAAAACTAAAGGACATTATGAATATTCATTAATATTACGCATGCGTATTAATATGTAAAATTTAATGTAAAGCCAATATTGGCAAACAATATTTTGCCAATATTGGCATAACAATATCAGTAAAACGATAATGGGATAATATTGGCGCAATTTTGTTTGCTAATATTGGTAAAATAATATTGGCGCAATATTGCTTGATAATATTAGCGCGATATCGGATATCTGGGCCAAGATTAGCCAAGATACCCAATATTGTGCCAATATTACGCCAATATTGTTTGCTACTTGGGTATATATATATATATATATATATATATATATATATATATATATATATATATATATATATATATATATATATATATATATAAATATATATATATATATATATATATATATATATATATATATATATATATATATACATATATATATATATATATATATATATATATATATATATATATATATATATATATATATATATATATATATAAATGTATATATATATTTATATTTGTATATTAATATATAAATATACAATTATATATATATATATATATATATATATATATATATATATATATATAAATTTAAATTTATATATATATATATATATATATATATATATATATATATATATATATATATATATATATATATATATATATATATATATTTATTTATTTATTTATTTGAACTAAGATACATTTAAACTATGCAATTTTTTAGCATTAATTAA